CTGTAATCGTGACTGTTGAACTAGCTTATTGATAAATGTTTTTTTTGAAGATTGATACGGTTTGACTGTATTTCTGTGAATTACACTTTTTTTTTTGCTTTGTTTTTGTCACATTATGTCATATTCTTTTTTCTTTTTTTGGGGGGGAGGGTTCTTTTTGGGCAATTTATTTTATAATGGTTTTTTATAAGGCCAATAAAGTAATACATTGTTGTTGGCACACAAATGTATTACGTTATTGGCTTTAATTGGCTGTTATTATGTTTTTGGTTTCGGCACACGTTATTACACTAATTTTACATCTATTCTTCTTTTAAGAGACTGTCAGAAATAACCCTCTGTCAAGCCGGGCAACCAACCAGGAGGTGGAAATGTTGATGAAGAGATGGTTGCACCTTGCTCCTGACCGGGATGGGGGAAGGAGAGAGAGAGAAGGCCGGAAACGGCGTGAGCAGAGTGTTCATGTTGAAATTTCCTGATTTGCCTTTTTGTTTTTGTTAGTTTGTCCCAATTGTTCATTTAATATTTTATTAAGATAATTTGTTTCACATTTTTCAACTTTTGTTAATAAATAATATGAACACATTTTCAAATGTATTTATTATTTGATTTATTAATGCATTTATCATGTGGTATTGAGTGTGGGTCACATTTTTGCTCAGGCCACTAATTGTGTTTGATGTGGTAAATATCTGGCAAACATTTGGCCCTAATAAAGTTCAGATGTGGGCCAAATCTGGGAGCGGAACTGGGCCGGATGTGGGCCAGAGATGCCCCGTCTCTGGCCCGTGCTCGGGCCACTTTTGTTTGATGTGGTAAAGATCTGGTAAACATATGGCCCTAAAAAAGTTCAGATGTGGGCCAAATCTGGGAGCGGAACTGGGCCGGATGTGGGCCAGAGATGCCCCGTCTCTGGCCCGTGCTCGGGCCACTTGTGTTTGATGTGGTAAAGATCTGGTAAACATATGGCCCTAATGAGGTTCAGATGTGGGCCAAATCTGGGAGCAGAACTGGGCCGGATGTGGGCCCGAGATGCCCCGTCTCTGGCCCGTGCTCGGCCCACTTGTGTTTGATGTGGTAAAGATCTGGTAAACATATGGCCCTAATAAAGTTCAGATGTGGGCCAAATCTGGGAGCGGAACTGGGCCGGATGTGGGCCAGAGATGCCCCGTCTCTGGCCCGTGCTCGGGCCACTTGTGTTTGATGTGGTAAAGATCTGGTAAACATATGGCCCTAATAAAGTTCAGATGTGGGCCAAATCTGGGAGCGGAACTGGGCCGGATGTGGGCCAGAGATGCCCCGTCTCTGGCCCGTGCTCGGGCCACTTGTGTTTGATGTGGTAAAGATCTGGTAGACATATGGCCCTAATGAGGTTCAGATGTGGGCCACATCTGGCATACGAGTTAGAATCATGCTATCGCCGGACATCCACGCGGTATGTGGGCCAAATCTGGGCCACGATGAAAAAGCTGGTTGTGGCAGAGCGTAACTGGGCCGGATGTGGGCCAGAGATGCCCCGTCTCTGGCCCGTGCTCGGGCCACTTGTGTTTGATGTGGTAAAGATCTGGTAAACATATGGCCCTAATAAAGTTCAGATGTGGGCCAAATCTGGGAGCGGAACTGGGCCGGATGTGGGCCAGAGATGCCCCGTCTCTGGCCCGTGCTCGGGCCACTTGTGTTTGATGTGGTAAAGATCTGGTAGACATATGGCCCTAATGAGGTTCAGATGTGGGCCACATCTGGCATACGAGTTAGAATCATGCTATCGCCGGACATCCACGCGGTATGTGGGCCAAATCTGGGCCACGATGAAAAAGCTGGTTGTGGCAGAGCGTAACTGGGCCGGATGTGGGCCAGAGATGCCCCGTCTCTGGCCCGTGCTCGGGCCACTTGTGTTTGATGTGGTAAAGATCTGGTAAACATATGGCCCTAATAAAGTTCAGATGTGGGCCAAATCTGGGAGCGGAACTGGGCCGGATGTGGGCCAGAGATGCCCCGTCTCTGGCCCGTGCTCGGGCCACTTGTGTTTGATGTGGTAAAGATCTGGTAGACATATGGCCCTAATGAGGTTCAGATGTGGGCCACATCTGGCATACGAGTTAGAATCATGCTATCGCCGGACATCCACGCGGTATGTGGGCCAAATCTGGGCCACGATGAAAAAGCTGGTTGTGGCAGAGCGTAACTGGGCCGGATGTGGGCCAGAGATGCCCCGTCTCTGGCCCGTGCTCGGGCCACTTGTGTTTGATGTGGTAAAGATCTGGTAAACATATGGCCCTAATAAAGTTCAGATGTGGGCCAAATCTGGGAGCGGAACTGGGCCGGATGTGGGCCAGAGATTCCCCCCCCTCTGGCCCGTGCTCGGGCCACTTGTGTTTGATGTGGTAAAGATCTGGTAAACATATGGCCCTAATGAGGTTCAGATGTGGGCTGTGACCTCAACGGCCTGGAGCTTCTGCAAACGACAGCCCAAGAACGTTGGAAGTGTCATAGAGGGTGTGGCAGTCATCACGGACTTGGAGATATTGCAAGGGCTTGCTCTTCTCCTTGGCTTGACCATGTGTTGATCTCAGTTATCCCACACAGCTGAAGTACACATTTGCGGTATTCAAAACTTTTCTTGGAACTGGATGATTCACAGTTTGTCAAACAAAGTCCCAGTCCACTCAAGAGCAAAAACTTCGGGCTTGAAATGAGACTGTAAGTTGCAACAAAACTTTTGTTCTACACAATGGTTCCCTTCTACAGCGCTTGAGAACGCATATGTGGACGTGCTATGTTTGTGAGTTTGCAGATTTGGACTATGTCCCACAAAGGTCACTCTACATTCAAATGTTATTTCAAAGAACATTTTTTTAATTTTTTATTTATTTTTTCTACCGTGTACAAATGGCACTTAGTATTTATGTAAGTAAAAGTTCTGGTTTGAATGTGTGAGCCGACTTCTGGTTGGGAACATGAGACTACAGAGCTAGGAAAATGCACATTTTCAAAGTGCTTTGTGAGTTGCACTGGATTTGGTTACGTTTTCATAGGACAAAGAACAAAATGTTTTTTTTCCTACTTTGTACAAATTGCATTTTATGATTTTATGTTTTGGCTCATGCATACTGCTTCTATGGCTGCTGCTTGCGATGCCTCGGATAACGCGGCATCTACGCAGGTTGTTAATTGTTAATAAAATGCTTAATTTGAGTATTAAATTGAGATCTGTACTTTATGGGCAATGTACTTGTTATTTTAAATGTATTTAGAGTTAATTCATTGCATTGATTGAATTCAAATCATGCACAGATTTAGTAATACATTATATTACTCAATTATATACAATTGCTAGGTAAGAATTTAATTTAATTTTTATTAGTATAATTTGCACAATATCGGGTTTCATATCTTCAAATTAATCAATATTTTTGTTTGTTTTAATTCAATTCTGCTCTCTCTTCCTATTTGAATCTACTACATATGAAATAGATAATTATAAGTGTCATATTTAATTAGTATTTACTCAATTCTAAGCAATGTAAAATTAATTAATAAAACAATTTGCTTGTAATCAGTATTGCCTCATTTTTATTGAGTAGATATGGTGTTTTTTCTTACAGTGTAGACATTAGGCAATAATGTGTGTACTAAAATAACATTATTTAAATTATGACTTTTAATAAAAAAGGCCCTATTGACTTTAGAGGTGCAGAAAACAAATTTGAGTAGGCCAGCAAAAAACACAGGCCTACGCGGGCCTATTCCTGGCGACCGCGGCTGCTTCCAAATATACATCTTCTTTTATTCAGTCATGTGAAAAAAACCTGAATTTTGACTCATATAATAAAAGTGGTGTGTTCATCTTTGATTTGCTGTCCGCCTGGTTTATCGGACCAGATCTCAAGTCTAGAAAAAAGAAAGAACAAATACCTTTATACATTTCAGGACTTTCTTCTTTTGAAGTTCCAACACTACTGTTATTGATATTCAACACGTATTGAGGAGTTGAACTTATGACAGCAGGATACAAGGTTACAATCGATAGAGGAAAGGTAACATGCATGTAATTTAAACATTTGACGTATACTGTTTTTTGTAATGAATGTTAAAATTGTCTTCTAGTGGAAGCAGCAAATCAATGGAGCGGAAGGAAGAGGCTTTGAATTGAAAACAAGCCAACAATCTGGAAAACAGTGTGTACGTCATTTCCACTGTAATCAATGTGTATGTGTTGTTTCATAATTTACATAATGGGCTGTTCATTTTTAAGAATGGGCCCCATCAACACCTGCTGAGGGGCCATGGGGTCGTGGACGTGAGTGGTCCCTTTTGGGATACAGAGTGCCTCTCGTCACTACACCAATATAAGCCATTGATTGCTGCTCGCGATGGCGACAATTAACAATAACACGCGTATGTTTCGAAGACTCTACACGCTCACACAACTAACTGTTACTATTGCTGTTTGCAATGTACATTCATTTAAAAGGGAAAATGTTGTCCTGGTGGTGTAGTTCAGAAAAAGCCCCGTTTTTAAACAAACGCAGTTGTAATGCTTGCTGTGTGGTGCGATAAAAACGAGGTGTTGAGGCCGCTTGGGCCAATCCAACCATTATCTCAAATTACATTATTTACACATTCTAGTAACTATAACTACTTCCTTTTTCAAAGTAACGTGCCCAACCACTGCAGGCGTGAATAATCATACTATTCACCTGCGTGTTCGCATTGCGCACACGGTGAGGAGCTGAGAGAGTGTGTGTGTCTGTGGGGGGAGGGGGGACTATGGCCCTACTGTACCTGTGTATATATCACGTGGACTTATAGGCACTGGGATGGGGGGGCCACATGCATCTTGGGGGGGGGGGGCCATCTCCCTACCACCCCACACACCCCCCCCCCTCCCCCCTCCACGGCGGACGGGCACGGCCCCTATGCCCGCCATAGCGGCGGTCTGGAGTATATATAGACATGTCCTTAAACAGAGGTCTACTGTACTCCAGTATTTCGGGAGCATGGAAGCCAAAGGTTTTTACCACGACGACGCTTCCAGGTCGCAAACCTCTCTTCCCACGGAACGAAAATACCTCAATCCGAGGTGGAAACAACGGGTACGTTGTTTAAATGTAATGTTGAATATGCATTTTATTAGGGCCTAGGAGTATGTATTATTAAACAATGCTACGCCTCTAATGTCTTTGGCAATGTTTCTTCCAGAACTCCAGGCAAAACGATTTCGCCACGCATTCAATCGCTTTGCGGCAATGCAAAACAGCAAAGCGTCTCGTCACAAAAAAAGCGGTAAGTGAATCTGTATTATGGTAGTGTATAATGGCCAATAAGCCAGGCATCCTCGCTTTAAACAAAGCACGACTATGACTTATCTCAATTTCAATCACAGGCAGCGGGTTCATGACGCTGGTTGCGTGACAATAAGGACCGGCTGGATGGGCAGGACATTGAACGCGTCTAGCCGTGAGACAGGGAGCTTATGCGGAACAGCTCGAGTTGGTCAGTGCTTGTGAGAATGAAAAATTGCACGCTGACTGTCAGCCAGCAGAGCGGAGACCGACAACCTCCACCAAACAGTTGCAGAGGCCTGAGAAGAACCCCATCTTCTGCTGATGCGAAGATACAAACACATGTTTGAGTTTTACATCAAAGACATGAATAGTTTGATTCTGAATTATTTCCATTAGTTAATTGTGATGTTTTCATTTCTGCCACAAGAAAATTAAACAGTAATAGGACTATCTTCAGCAACGGCTTTCATTAACTGCTAAGGTTTTTTTTGGGGTGTACTGGACTAAGTTTGAAATGTATTAACAAATGTGTACTTTGTGTGTTTTGTTTAGAGGGGAAACACCTAAAACCACCACTTTTGAAGTAAAAAGCTCAGAGTTCATTCATGTGAAGGAGGACACTACTCCCACCCCCCACCAACATCAACCAGCAGGCCCAAAACCAAGCCAAACTAAGGCCAAACCGCCGGCCAAACCAACGACAAAAAAAGGCCTAAATTTTGCACGACAGAAGCAATGATGAAAGGGTCATCCAGCGTTCAGACTCAAATCAACAATTGACTCTGTGGGTTTTTGGGACATTTTGCAGATTTCCAAAAATCTGACAGATGGGTTGACCAAAGACATCACCCTTTGTGCAAAGATCTGAGGACTGGAGGTTTCAGTTTTTACTGTCGGTTCTAAAGTGTGTGAAAGGCCAAGAGGCTCTGGACTGATGGGTGTGGACTTTGCTGACTGCAGGGGGGGAAAACGATATCAGGGTGTGGAGGGTGTCTACAGCAGGCGTTACAGGACAATAGGATTTGGTGTGTCGTCAAAAAAACTTGCTGACGGTGTTCAGAATATGATACAGAAATAAGGCCAAGGAATGCAGGAGTTAACAAGAGAACATTAATTCTCTTTACAATTAATTATTGTTACAAAACTCTTGGAGCCCTCTAATTCTCTAAACTAACCCTATGCTGAGCATTCTCACTGTCCCTCCAGGCTGAAACATGTGCAGGGGAACATTTCCAGGCGCTCTTGCGATGTTCCTTTCTAACTAGTTCCCTGTTCAGACTGACTGCAAATCTCCTCCCCAGCAGTTCTATCAGACGGTCCAGATGACGTCCAGGTCCCAGAACTGGTCCAGTCTGCTCCAGCTTTTTATGGTTTTGGGAGGCGCGTGACTCCAGCCAGCCATGGACTCCGGACTTTGTCTCGGTGCTTCCCCTCGTATCTCTGCATTCCAGACCTTAGCGGCGTCTTCCTGTCTGGGACTATATCAACAGGCGCGCTGTTTGCATATACTTGTCCTTGGGGGATGGTCTGCCGATGGATGGGCCCACTTAATATGAAATCACTGAAAATATAAACGACGTGTGCTAGATTTCTTGAGATGATGCATTAGTGTGGTGTTGAAATTGATAACCAAAGTTGACACATTTGTCATGTTAATACTTTCAGGTGAAAACATTTCAGGTTAATACATATCAAATGACGTTTAGTTTAAAAATGGTGTTGTACTTTATATTTATTGAGGTAAATTGGGTCATATTTGTGTCTTTTCATTTCATACACATGAATAATTAGGAATTATTTTTTTTTTTTGGTTTTTTTAGTTTGAGCCATTTTAATGTTCAACAGGGGGAGATAAGTGTATGGAGGAGCAATTACTATGGAATATGAAATGATCGCTAAAAAACTTTTTTGGAGTTTTTTCTGTGTGTGTTTCTGTAACCAATTTGATTTTTTATAAGACACTGACAAGAGGGTCTTTAAGTTGAGGTCGACGCAACTAGGATTTCAAATGGTAATTCTGGTTTGTATTAATTTTCTTGTGTTCCATCTTTAAGTTGGTTTACTAAACATTGAATGGGATTCATTTTTTAATGAAAAACAGGGGGGAATGATAGTAGAGTTGTTGGATTTTCATTAAAGTGAATTAGAAATATATTCAAAGTTTAGACAGCTTTGGGTTAACCTACGTGTGTGATGGGAAGTGATGGACTGGAATCAAGCAGCATTCTCCCATCCCCCAGTCATAAGTGAAAGATGTCTAAATACGCAGGAAGCGAAAACATCTGTTTTAGTAGATCTCATGTTTATTTAGATGGAAGCCACTTTTCTCTGCGGGTCGAGGAGGGTGGGACCTATTGTTGCCTGTGTTTTCAAATAATCATGGTAAAAGACCAGAGCTCTTTGTCCCAATTCTTTGTCACTCTGCGGCTACATCTAGCTTGACCCAGATGGTGCAGTCTGTCAAAACTTGTCTGTTTGTTGCTGAGTCCAGATAACTGAAGTTTTGAAACCAGCGGCTAAAACATGTATTAAAGAGATTATGTTGTTGAAATTGAGTAGTTTTTTCACAGAATGGTTTTCTATCTCTTTCCATGTTGATTGTGAAGAGATGAAAAAGAATATTTTTGAGACCCCAAGCATTGAATTTTCACATTTTATAGTTTGAAATAATGTTGGTCAACGAGTGTCGTCATGGAAGCGGACATGCTGACCCCTTTGGGAAAATACAACTCAAACCGCCATTTTAAACCAGCTGCTCTACTCGGCTCTATACGGCTACATTTCGTCCCTCCTCCTCCGAGAAACGAAAATGCACAGAAAGCCCAAAAGTCAGGTCTGGTCGGTGGACGAGGTCAACTTCCTCTCTTCCAGCCCGAACGAAGAATTCAAAGGCAGCTCGAGGTCAACACAGTTTTCAGGTGAGATCACCCAGCTCGGGATTTGTGACTAGTGTTGTATTAGATAGCAATATGGCCCTCGTGAGGTCTGTTCAAGGACTCTGTTTATTTTGACTATGATGTGACTGTCTCTAGGTTGACAGTATGTCTTTCGATTTGTGACGTGCAAATGACTATATAAAACTGTGTACGACTCTCATTTTGACGGAGAGAAAGAACACAATGGAAACCCTGGAAACGTGAGAGAAATTTAAATCAACTTCCGAGTTTGGCGCACACGATCCGTCTCTGGTCTGGTTCATTCCTGACAATGTCTGTGGTACTCCTGGAAATAATGCTACGTTTTCTGTTGGCCCAAAGCTCTCACTGAAATGTATTTACTGTGTGAATGTTTGATTGTTGTAGTACACAGGGAGATAGCTACACCTTAGCTTCTTTTAGCTATTGATAGCAGCTAAGCTAACGTCCTTCCTGTGTCTTCCTGTGCTTTATCTCGATTATCAGCAGTATTCTGTGTTTCGGTAACTGATTGAAAAGCTCATGGTCTCTCGGTTTAAAGTGTTGCCATCTGGATAGGTATTTTTAGCTTTGTAACTGACAGATCTCAGAGTAGGTGAACAAATCAATGATGTTTTTCTGATGTTGTTTCAGTGAGCACTGGTTTCCTCAGGGATGTATTTTTTGAGTCTTTGCTTTTTATTTGTTACACTCACGATTGTGTGTCCTCCTTGACTCAAACTTGATTCAACAAATATGCTGATGACACCACCCTCCAGTAGAGACGCAGTAGAGACGCACGGACTGTTCAGTAGAGACGCACGGACTGTTCAGTAGAGACGCACGGACTGTTCAGTAGAGACGCACGGACTGCTCAGTAGAGACGCACGGACTGTTCAGTAGAGACGCACGGACTGTTCAGTAGAGACGCACGGACTGTTCAGTAGAGACGACGGACTGTTCAGTAGAGACGCACGGACTGTTCAGTAGAGACGCACGGACTGTTCAGTAGAAACGCACGGACTGTTCAGTAGAGACGCACGGACTGTTCAGTAGAGACGCACGGACTGTTCAGTAGAGACGCACGGACTGTTCTGTAGAGACGCACGGACTGTTCAGTAGAGAGACGACTGTTCTGTAGAGACACACGGACTGTTCAGTAGAGACGCACGGACTGTTCAGTAGAGACGCACGGACTGTTCTGTAGAGACGCACGGACTGTTCAGTAGAGACGCACGGACTGTTCTGTAGAGACGCACGGACTGTTCAGTCTAGAGACGCACGGACTGTTCAGTAGAGACGCACGGACTGTTCAGTAGAGACGCACGGACTGTTCAGTAGAGACGCACGGACTGTTCAGTAGAGACGCACGGACTGTTCAGTAGAGACGCACGGACTGTTCAGTAGAGACGCACGGACTGTTCAGTAGAGACGCACGGACTGTTCTGTAGAGACACACGGACTGTTCAGTAGAGACGCACGGACTGTTCAGTAGAGACGCACGGACTGTTCTGTAGAGACGCACGGACTGTTCAGTAGAGACGCACGGACTGTTCAGTAGAGACGCACGGACTGTTCAGTAGAGACGCACGGACTGTTCAGTAGAGACGCACGGACTGTTCAGTAGAGACGCACGGACTGTTCAGTAGAGACGCACGGACTGTTCTCTAGAGACGCACGGACTGCAATCCAGCGCTAGCATTAGCTATAGCCAGGCTGTATCCTCACGGACCATAGACTGTATACATTAACAGACAAGTTACGATTTCCTACCATATACTTATGTACTTTTACTAAATACATTATATTTGTCAGTAAATCCGTATAACCTTGGTAAATTTATGAACAATGATGGAGAGATTTGGTAAATATAAAGGTTTTATTTTTGGTCAAAATAAATGTTTAGGCAGACAAGTTATGCATCGGATAGCCCTCCTCCTCTGCAACCACTGCTACACAGGCTGCTATTGCTACAGGTATGTCCGTGGTTTTGTGGGTTGTACAGAGCACAGCAGGTCAGCACCACTGACTTCACATGTGATTGAAGTCTTAGTACACGTTCAGTGTCCGAGTCATTCCTTTAAAGCGTTTTCAACAACCACTCGCGCTGTGCTGAATTTTCTATTAAATACTTGCTGTTAGTCTGTCACTCGGTGTCCTGAAAAGGTTGTAGGAGCCAGTTCTGCAGGGGTTAAGCAGAGTCCCCTCGCAGGTAATTCCCCTGCCATCACAAATATAAAAATATCTCCATGCACGCACCAATGTTACTAGTTGCGCGTAAATGACGTGGTCTGGCAACGCTGAGGATATACAAGGAGGCACTATTTTTGATGGAAAAGCACGCGAACTGAACCGTGCCGTAACGTGTAGTGTCGTTCCTTATCGTACTGGCACTGTGGAAAAGCGGCATAAGTATGTCATTGTGTTTTGCAGTTCTCTCCGTCTCTGCGGCCGTTCCTTCAGACGGTGGTCATCAGTATGGTGTCGTTCGGTGAGACTCACGGCAAACAACAATCAGGAATCGGTAAGACTCAGGTCCCCACATGGTTTTTTCTTCAAAAACAGGGATTGGTAAGACTCAGGTCCCCACATGGTTCTTTCTTCAAAAACAGGGATCGGTAAGACTCAGGTCCCCACATGGTTCTTTCTTCAAAAACAGGGATTGGTAAGACTCGGGTCCCCACATGGTTTTTTCTTCAAAAACAGGGATTGGTAAGACTCAGGTCCCCACATGGTTCTTTATTCAAAAACAGGGATTGGTAAGACTCAAGTCCCCACATGGTTCTTTCTTCAAAAACAGGGATTGATAAGACTCAGGTCCCCACATGGTTCTTTCTTCAAAAACATCTAAATGTCACAAACTCAAAGATTTGTTTATTAAAACTAGCCATCCATCCATCCATTTTCTTCCCCTTAATCCATTTCTGGGTCGGGGGGGTGGCAGTCAGAGCTACACCCAGTACACAGAGCACCAGCCCCTCACTGATCCTCCTGCAGGTGGTGAGTCCACAGGAGCTGAGATCTTTCAGTGGGAGCTTCAGGCAAAAACTAGCATTTCCTTCAAATCAGTTTTGCTAGTTTCCCCAAATGCTGCTCTTTTCACTGAAAAGTTATAAATGTTATGTTTACACTTAAAGTAGAATTAAAATACTTAGTTTTATCACTATTCAACAGTGTATTCTGTCTCAATCACAAGTTTATTTGTTTTTTTCATTAAATTACATCAAAGTAAATTTTCTAATGATTATGTATAATGCACTATTTATATAATTCATGATATTATTATCAACACAAATGTATAGTATTGTGTACAAATGTTCTTGACTAAATAAACTGTAGGTTTAAGGTGGAAGCTCATCCTCTTTGATTTGGGAAATACTAATCTGTTTTTCTTTCTCTCCAGGAAAAGCCGCCTTATCACTTCTAACTTCAGGGAAATACGTGATGGATCCGGAGCTGAGGGGAGCAGAGTTTGAGCGGATCACTCAAAACTTGGATCTGCAGTTTTGGAAATCCTTCTGGAACCTGACGGAAACTGGGCTAATCACAGTAGGCACGGCCAAATTACAACACATCTCAATTGTACTTTCAGAAGTGGGACAAGTGGCACGTGCCAGCATTGTTTGTGTATCCCAATTATTCTGTGTGTAGTAATCCATTGAACCAAAACTAGTTACGAACAAAAACAGACTTAGAACATCATACAATTGAGTAAAGCAATATTATTGTTGAACATCAGTTACAAATGTGTAATAGTAATATTTATCCCTAGTTCCTGAACTCGTTGTGTGCCATTGACGCACAAACACGTCAAAGCAAATTAACGCATTCATACGTCAATTGCGTTTTCTGCTATTTTCATGCTCCCAGATGTCTATTGTATCTAATATGTCTGGGAATTAGGTTTAGACCATATTTTATGGAGCCAGCAGGTGGCAGCAGCGCTGCGTCTGGATGTTTGAAAACAAGATGCACTTTTGGGGCCTCTTTTTTCTCCGATTTTTTGTCTGAGACGGCAACAGTTCACTTACATTTTGAATGAATGTATTGAGACAATAAGTCTTGTCTGACAACAAGACAAAAAGATGCTTGTTCCATTGACAAATCAAGAAAAACTGCATTTTCCTCTCTCTTTATTCCCTTTTTGCTTCCAGATAACTTAAATTATGAATTGCTACCGCCAATGTTCAGATTTTAGTTGTGCAGCCCTAACCCTTACCCATCCATGAGCTGCTCCCTAATCATGTCTTAAACAGACTGGTAAAGGATCACAGTAGCAGTTTTTTTTTATTTTTTATTTTTTTAATTTATTTATTTGACAGGGACAGTACAAAAAAACATTGTCACCCACAGGTAACCGATGTGAAGTACACAAGGCTTCTAGCCAAAGGCTAATTTGCAGCCCCAGTCCCTGGTTAGGCTTTTGGAGAAAGCGAAGAAACACGTTTTTTTAAAAAGGGGAGAAAAGAACAACCACACATCAATAAAAATAACTGACCCCATTTGTCCATACTACATTCAGGTTTAGTGCTCACACTTCTGATTTTCCTTAAGCCACTTTTTCAGTTTAGTGGAGAAAAGTCTAGTGTCCGACTGTGACTTCAGCTCCAGTGGCAAAGAGTTCCACAGATGTGAGGCCTTCACTGAGAATGCAGACTGACCCAGAGTCGTCCGGCACCTTCTCACTCTGCAGCTCCCACTGACTGCAGCTCGAGTCTGCACACCCTCACTGCTGCACCTTTGGATGTTTTTACACATTACTTCAGGGGCTAATCCATTAAGACACTTAAACAAAGCTTTTAAAAAGGTAAATTCATTGGCTTTCGATCATATATTTTGAGTGTTTGTTTATATAATGATAGCAAAGGCTTCACTACAGACTTTGTGGCCTGACCCCAGACAATGGCACAATAAGACATGTGGGATAATATCATAGCATGTAAACCCGTGCAGCTTGAACTGATAAGCAGGGTCTAATCAACCTGAAATAATTTATATTTCTTTTTATGGTCTTAGTCATTTTTTTAACATGCCGATCAAAACTTAACTTAGGGTCCAAAATAACACCCAGGTATTTAAACTCCTTAACTTGTTTTATTTTATGTTGATTAACGCTGACCTCAATTTCATTGAGTGATTGTTTCTTCAGAGAAAAACACATTGAGACAGTTTTATCATAGTTCAGAGTTAAACAGTTATTTTCAACCCATGTTGATACTTCACTTAACTGTCTGTTTAATGTTTCTGAGGCCTGTTGAGAGGTGTCTGCCGCCACATAGATTATTGTGTCATCCGCATACATTTGACAAGTTGTCTCTTTACAAATGTTGGGCAGGTCATTAATATATAAGCTGAAAAGCAGCGGACCTAAAATGGATCCTTGTGGCACCCCCAGATCACAGCTTTGTATATCAGATTTTGTACCATTTATTTTAACACATTGTTGTCTCAATTAAAGATATGATGTAAACCAATTTATGGTTTGTTTTGAAATATTAAATTGTTTTAATTTTGACAGCAGGACTAGATGATTTACTGTATCAAAGGCTTTTCTGAAATCTAAAAATACTGCTCCAACACATTTCCCTTGGTCCAAACTACATTTTATCATTTCGGTTAGATGACACACAGCCATTTCAGTGGAATGTTTGGGCCGCAGTGCAGTCCTTTCACAGTAATGCAGTTTGATTCTAGCATGAGACTTCCTGCTGAGCCGGTGTGTGTCTTCAGGGCTTCAGCCGGATCGCTTCAAACCCAGTGCAGGTGAATCTGACGCTGTCTCTCCCTCCGGAGCCGCTGCAGCTGCCTCTGGCCTCAGACCCCAGCCTCTCCACAAACGTGTCCCCTCCCGTCGCACACTGGGGTCCTGGGCCTGTGCTCGCGCGCCTCATATCCTCCGAGATTTGAGAAGGGCAGGTAAAGAGACACGCTTTAACCCGATACAGGACTGTGACATTGCTACAGCTGGGTCTCAACAGAAAGAGTCAAAGTAAATGTTTGCGAACACATCAAACCACTTCATGCTTATCTCATTTGAAAACATGTCTTTTGTATTCTTGTAAGAAAGAGCCCTGTGAGTCACTATTTGACCCTTTGGGCTGTGCGAGGATTGGCTGAGTCAGTGTGGTTCTCTCTGTTTCACTGTTCTGTCTGATAAATCTGATCTCAAAATGTGACAGAGATAAAAAATACATGTGAGAACTAGTGAAAGAACCAAACCGTTTTGAGAGCGTCTTTGTAATGTAGATGAATCTTCCAATCAGGACTAGGGATGTAAAAAACTATGAATTTTCATGACCGACCACCGAGCCTCATTAACCGGTTGAAACCGGTTAACCGCGTAGATTAAAATATTCCATGTTCTTTGAAATAACAGCCATTTCGATCGGATCAGAGCCGAGACAGCGGAGCGATACCCGCCTCAGCTTCGGCTGCTCACAGAGAACTACTGTTTTAATCTTCCCATTCTTCTGAGCTGCGGGTTAAAGCTGTTTAGCAGCAAACGACGGCTCGTCCACATGGTTAGAGCAGCGAGTGACGGCCCGTCCACATGGTCAGAGCAGCGAGTGACGGCCCGTCCACATGGTCAGAGCAGTGAGTGACGGCTCGTCCACATGGTCAGAGCAGCGAGTGACGGCCCGTCCACATGGTCAGAGCAGCGAGTGACGGCCCGTCCACATGGTCAGAGCAGCGAGTGACGGCCCGTCCACATGGTCAGAGCAGTGAGTGACGGCCCGTCCACATGGTCAGAGCAGCGAGTGACGGCCCGTCCACATGGTCAGAGCAGCGAGTGACGGCCCGTCCACATGGTCAGAGCAGCGAGTGACGGCCCGTCCACATGGTCAGAGCAACGAGTGACGCGTCTCACAGGTCTCCTCTAAAGTTTAAGTACAAGTGATGTGTGTGGAGCTGATCTAATGACAAGGACCAGCAGCACAAACATGGTCCATGTGGTTTGACTGAAGCCGCGTATTTGCGAGAAGGTTTATTCCCAGGTTTATTGTTCTGTATCTGATTTGCCTATCTCTGATCAGGACTTAGAGCTCTCTCCTGCTAGTCCACCTCAGAGAGCGAGAATCACACTAAAGACCTGTTAAACTACATGTGGACCCAGTCTCTGCCCCTTCACCTCTGGTCCGGACAGTCCCAGAAGCTGCTCCCTGTATCTGGGACGTCACCCACACAGCGTCCGGGACGTCACCCACACAGCATCCGGGACGTCACCCACGCAGCGTCCGGGACGTCACCCACACAGCGTCCGGGACGTCACCCACACAGTGTCCGGGACGTCACCCACACAGTGTCCGGGACGTCACCCACACAGTGTCTGGGACGTCACCCACACAGCGTCCGGGACGTCACCCACACAGCGTCCGGGACGTCACCCACACAGCGTCTGGGACGTCACCCACACAGTGTCCGGGACGTCACCCACACAGCGTCTGGGACGTCACCCACACAGCGTGTTGTGTGTTTATGAGTCTGTTGTGTGTTTACGAGTCTGTTGTGTGTTTATGAGTCTGTTGTGTGTTTATGAGTCTGTTGTGTGTTTACGAGTCTGTTGTGTGTTTACGAGTCTGTTGTGTGTTTACGAGTCTGTTGTGTGTTTACGAGTCTGTTGTGTGTTTACGAGTCTGTTGTGTGTTTACGAGTCTGTTGTGTGTTTACGAGTCTGTTGTGTTACGAGTCTGTTGTGTGTTTACGAGTCTGTTGTGTGTTTACGAGTCTGTTGTGTGTTTACGAGTCTGTTGTGTGTTTACGAGTCTGTTGTGTGTTTACGAGTCTGTTGTGTGTTTACGAGTCTGTTGTGTGTTTACGAGTCTGTTGTGTGTTTACGAGTCTGTTGTGTGTTTACGAGTCTGTTGTGTGTTTACGAGTCTGTTGTGTGTTTACGAGTCTGTTGTGTGTTTACGAGTCTGTTGTGTGTTTACGAGTCTGTTGGTGTTTACGAGTCTGTTGTGTGTTTACGAGTCTGTTGTGTGTTTACGAGTCTGTTGTGTGTTTACGAGTCTGTTGTGTGTTTACGAGTCTGTTGTGTGTTTACGAGTCTGTTGTGTGTTTACGAGTCTGTTGTGTGTTTACGAGTCTGTTGTGTGTTTAGTCTGTTGTGTGTTTACGAGTCTGTTGTGTGTTTACGAGTCTGTTGTGTGTTTACGAGTCTGTTGTGTGTTTACGAGTCTGTCGTGTGTTTACGAGTTCTGTGTGTGTTTACGAGTCTGTGTGTGTTTTTTTGTTTAGTCTGTTGTGTGTTTACGAGTCTGTTGTGTGTTTACGAGTCTGTTGTGTGTTTACGAGTCTGTTGTGTGTTTACGAGTCTGTTGTGTGTTTACGAGTCTGTTGTGTGTTTACGAGTCTGTTGTGTGTTTACGAGTCTGTTGTGTGTTTACGAGTCTGTTGTGTGTTTACGAGTCTGTTGTGTGTTTACGAGTCTGTTGTGTGTTTACGAGTCTGTTGTGTGTTTACGAGTCTGTTGTGTGTTTACGAGTCTGTTGTGTGTTTACGAGTTTACGAGTCTGTTGTGTGTTTACGAGTCTGTTGTGTGTTTACGAGTCTGTTGTGTGTTTACGAGTCTGTTGTGTGTTTACGAGTCTGTTGTGTGTTTACGAGTCTGTTGTGTGTTTACGAGTCTGTTGTGTGTTTACGAGTCTGTTGTGTGTTTACGAGTCTGTTGTGTGTTTACGAGTCTGTTGTGTGTTTACGAGTCTGTTGTGTGTTTACGAGTCTGTTGTGTGTTTACGAGTCTGTTGTGTGTTTACGAGTCTGTTGTGTGTTTACGAGTCTGTTGTGTGTTTACGAGTCTGTTGTGTGTTTACGAGTCTGTTGTGTGTTTACGAGTCTGTTGTGTGTTTACGAGTCTGTTGTGTGTTTACGAGTCTGTTGTGTGTTTACGAGCCTGTTGTGTGTTTACGAGTCTGTTGTGTGTTTATGAGTCTGTTGTGTGTTTATGAGTCTGTTGTGTGTTTATGAGTCTGTTGTGTGTTTATGAGTCTGTTGTGTGTTTACGAGTCTGTTGTGTGTTTACGAGTCTGTTGTGTGTTTACGAGTCTGTTGTGTGTTTATGAGTCTGTTGTGTGTTTACGAGTCTGTTGTGTGTTTCCAGGACAGTGAGGAGCTGCTCTCTTACTCTCGGGCCGACACTGGTCCCGTTGCCATGACGACGCTGCCCTGGGTCCAGAAGCAGCCGCACTCGCCCTGGCTCCTCGTCCACTTCCACGGAGGAGGCTTTGCGGCCCAGACGTCCAAATCTCATGAAGTTAGTGACACACCATCCAGGACTAGCATGACCAAGTGAACACGCCACCCAGGACTAGCATGACCAAGTGAACACGCCACCCAGGACTAGCATGACCAAGTGAACACGCCACCCAGGACTAGCATGACCAAGTGAACACGCCCTCCAGGACTAGCATGACCAAGTGAACACGCCACCCAGGACTAGCATGACCAAGTGAACACGCCCTCCAGGACTAGCATGACCAAGTGAACATGCCATCCAGGACTAGCATGACCAAGTGAACACGCCACCCAGGACTAGCATGACCAAGTGAACACGCCATCCAGGACTAGCATGACCAAGTGAACACGCCCTCCAGGACTAGCATGACCAAGTGAACACGCCATCCAGGACTAGCATGACCAAGTGAACACGCCCTTCAGGACTAGCATGACCAAGTGAACACACCCTCCAGGACTAGCATGACCAAGTGAACACGCCACCCAGGACTAGCATGACCAAGTGAACACGCCCTCCAGGACTAGCATGACCAAGTGAACATGCCATCCAGGACTAGCATGACCAAGTGAACACGCCACCCAGGACTAGCATGACCGAGTGAACACGCCACCCAGGACTAGCATGACCAAGTGAACACGTCATCCAGGACTAGCATGACCAAGTGAACACGCCATCCAGGACTAGCATGACCAAGTGAACACGCCCTCCAGGACTAGCATGACCAAGTGAACACGTCATCCAGGACTAGCATGACCAAGTGAACACGCCCTCCAGGACTAGCATGACCAAGTGAACACGTCATCCAGGACTAGCATGACCAAGTGAACACGCCCTCCAGGACTAGCATGACCAAGTGAACACGCCCTCCAGGACTAGCATGACCAAGTGAACACGCCACCCAGGACTAGCATGACCAAGTGAACACGCCATCCAGGACTAGCATGACCAAGTGAACACGCCCTTCAGGACTAGCATGACCAAGTGAACACGCCATCCAGGACTAGCATGACCAAGTGAACACGCCCTTCAGGACTAGCATGACCAAGTGAACACGCCACCCAGGACTAGCATGACCAAGTGAACACGCCACCCAGGACTAGCATGACCAAGTGAACACGCCACCCAGGACTAGCATGACCAAGTGAACACGCCATCCAGGACTAGCATGACCAAGTGAACACGCCCTTCAGGACTAGCGTGACCAAGTGAACACGCCCTCCAGGACTAGCATGACCAAGTGAACACGCCACCCAGGACTAGCATGACCAAGTGAACACGCCACCCAGGACTAGCATGACCAAGTGAACACGCCACCCAGGACTAGCATGACCAAGTGAACACGCCCTTCAGGACTAGCATGACCAAGTGAACACGCCCTTCAGGACTAACATGACCAAGTGAACACGCCCTCCAGGACTAGCATGACCAAGTGAACACGCCACCCAGGACTAGCATGACCAAGTGAACACGCCCTTCAGGACTAGCATGACCAAGTGAACACGCCCTCCAGGACTAGCATGACCAAGTGAACACGCCCTCCAGGACTAGCATGACCAAGTGAACACGCCCTCCAGGACTAGCATGACCAAGTGAACACGCCCTCCAGGACTAGCATGACCAAGTGAACACGCCACCCAGGACTAGCATGACCAAGTGAACACGCCCTTCAGGACTAGCATGACCAAGTGAACACGCCCTTCAGGACTAGCATGACCAAGTGAACACGCCACCCAGGACTAGCATGACCAAGTGAACACGCCATCCAGGACTAGCATGACCAAGTGAACACGCCACCCAGGACTAGCATGACCAAGTGAACACGCCATCCAGGACTAGCATGACCAAGTGAACACGCCACCCAGGACTAGCATGACCAAGTGAACACGCCACCCAGGACTAGCATGACCAAGTGAACACGCCCTTCAGGACTAGCATGACCGAGCTAGCATGACCAAATGAACACGCCACCCAGGACTAGCATGACCAAGTGAACACGCCATCCAGGACTAGCATGACCAAGTGAACACGCCCTTCAGGACTAGCAGACCGAGTGAACACGCCATCCAGGACTAGCATGACCAAGTGAACACGCCACCCAGGACTAGCATGACCAAGTGAACACACCACCCAGGACTAGCATGACCAAGTGAACACGCCCTTCAGGACTAGCATGACCAAGTGAACACGCCCTCCAGGACTAGCATGACCAAGTGAACACGCCACCCAGGACTAGCATGACCAAGTGAACACGCCACCCAGGACTAGCATGACCAAGTGAACACGCCACCCAGGACTAGCATGACCAAGTGAACACGCCCTTCAGGACTAGCATGACCAAGTGAACACGCCACCCAGGACTAGCATGACCAAGTGAACACGCCCTCCAGGACTAGCATGACCAAGTGAACACGCCCTTCAGGACTAGCATGACCAAGTGAACACTCCATCTAGGACTAGCATGACCAAGTGAACACACCACCCAGGACTAGCATGACCAAGTGAACACGCCCTCCAGGACTAGCATGACCAAGTGAACACGCCCTTCAGGACTAGCATGACCAAGTGAACACTCCACCCAGGACTAGCATGACCAAGTGAACACGCCACCCAGGACTAGCATGACCAAGTGAACACGTCATTCAGGACTAGCATGACCAAGTAAACACGCCACCCAGGACTAGCATGACCAAGTGAACACGCCACCCAGGACTAGCATGACCAAGTGAACACGCCACCCAGGACTAGCATGACCAAGTGAACACGCCCTCCAGGACTAGCATGACCAAGTGAACACGCCCTCCAGGACTAGCATGACCAAGTGAACACGCCCTCCAGGACTAGCATGACCAAGTGAACACGCCACCCAGGACTAGCATGACCAAGTGAACACGCCACCCAGGACTAGCATGACCAAGTGAACACGCCATCCAGGACTAGCATGACCAAGTGAACACGCCACCCAGGACTAGCATGACCAAGTGAACACGCCCTCCAGGACTAGCATGACCAAGTGAACACGCCCTTCAGGACTAGCATGACCAAGTGAACACGCCATCCAGGACTAGCATGACCAAGTGAACACGCCATCCAGGACTAGCATGACCAAGTGAACACGCCCTTCAGGACTAGCATGACCAAGTGAACACGCCCTTCAGGACTAGCATGACCAAGTGAACACGCCCTTCAGGACTAGCATGACCAAGTGAACACGCCCTTCAGGACTAGCATGACCAAGTGAACACGCCACCCAGGACTAGCATGACCAAGTGAACACGCCCTCCAGGACTAGCATGACCAAGTGAACACGCCCTCCAGGACTAGCATGACCAAGTGAACACGCCACCCAGGACTAGCATGACCAAGTGAACACGCCATTCAGGACTAGCATGACCAAGTGAACACGCCACCCAGGACTAGCATGACCAAGTGAACACGCCACCCAGGACTAGCATGACCAAGTGAACACGCCACCCAGGACTAGCATGACCAAGTGAACACGCCCTTCAGGACTAGCATGACCAAGTGAACACGCCACCCAGGACTAGCATGACCAAGTGAACACGCCCTCCAGGACTAGCATGACCAAGTGAACACGCCCTCCAGGACTAGCATGACCAAGTGAACACGCCCTCCAGGACTAGCATGACCAAGTGAACACGCCCTCCAGGACTAGCATGACCAAGTGAACACGCCATCCAGGACTAGCATGACCAAGTAAACACGCCACCCAGGACTAGCATGACCAAGTGAACACGCCACCCAGGACTAGCATGACCAAGTGAACACGCCACCCAGGACTAGCATGACCAAGTGAACACGCCATCCAGGACTAGCATGACCAAGTGAACACGCCACCCAGGACTAGCATGACCAAGTGAACACGCCACCCAGGACTAGCATGACCAAGTGAACACGCCATCCAGGACTAGCATGACCAAGTGAACACGCCATCCAGGACTAGCATGACCAAGTGAACACGCCACCCAGGACTAGCATGAACAAGTGAACACGCCACCCAGGACTAGCATGACCAAGTGAACACGCCCTCCAGGACTAGCATGACCAAGTGAACACGCCACCCAGGACTAGCATGACCAAGTGAACACGCCACCCAGGACTAGCATGACCAAGTGAACACGCCCTTCAGGACTAGCATGACAAAGTGAACACGCCCTTCAGGACTAGCATGACCAAGTGAACACGCCCTTCAGGACTAGCATGACCAAGTGAACACGCCCTTCAGGACTAGCATGACCAAGTGAACACGCCACCCAGGACTAGCATGACCAAGTGAACACGCCCTCCAGGACTAGCATGACCAAGTGAACACGCCCTCCAGGACTAGCATGACCAAGTGAACACGCCACCCAGGACTAGCATGACCAAGTGAACACGCCATCCAGGACTAGCATGACCAAGTGAACACGCCACCCAGGACTAGCATGACCAAGTGAACACGCCACCCAGGACTAGCATGACCAAGTGAACACGCCACCCAGGACTAGCATGACCAAGTGAACACGCCCTTCAGGACTAGCATGACCAAGTGAACACGCCACCCAGGACTAGCATGACCAAGTGAACACGCCCTCCAGGACTAGCATGACCAAGTGAACACGCCCTCCAGGACTAGCATGACCAAGTGAACACGCCCTCCAGGACTAGCATGACCAAGTGAACACGCCCTCCAGGACTAGCATGACCAAGTCAACACGCCATCCAGGACTAGCATGACCAAGTAAACACGCCACCCAGGACTAGCATGACCAAGTGAACACGCCACCCAGGACTAGCATGACCAAGTGAACACGCCACCCAGGACTAGCATGACCAAGTGAACACGCCATCCAGGACTAGCATGACCAAGTGAACACGCCACCCAGGACTAGCATGACCAAGTGAACACGCCACCCAGGACTAGCATGACCAAGTGAACACGCCATCCAGGACTAGCATGACCAAGTGAACACGCCATCCAGGACTAGCATGACCAAGTGAACCGCCACCCAGGACTAGCATGACCAAGTGAACACGCCACCCAGGACTAGCATGACCAA